AAATCCAAGCATTGCTGTTTCTCTTATAGGCTAGGCTCCCAACTCAAACAAATGAGTTATTGATGTTTTTACTTAAATAAAGTACATTTGTACCACTGTAATAAATAATTTTCTTGTAATATGACAGTTTTTGATAAATATATCTGGGTGTTTAATCAGAGCCTTATCGGGGGTCTTGTTGCAGCAATAAGGGCACAGACATGCGGACATTAGCTTTAATTTAACTACTATATACCTACACAAAAACAAAACAGTCATTAATGTAATTAATGACTGAGCTACAGTAAGATGTACAGTGCATTGTTCTGTAAACTGTAACACTAACCTAAGCAAGGCAATATTTAAACCCAGAGAGGTACGTGAACTAAAAGTCGCTTAAAAGGGGATCAATTGTGTTCATGTCGCACTCACTCAAAATTTTTATTCAACTTTATTTGATTTGCAGTTAAGTGATCGTTATGTAACTTATTGGTCTTTTATCATCTGTCTGAAACAAGTCTTTTTAGTTTCTGTTTCTTTAAGGCCCCCCCTCCCCCTCACTATAAGCCCAAATTCTGATTGGCTGCCCTTCGACTTGCTTCTAAACAGAACCCAGTGCTTGTTAGCTCCGCCTCCTTATTCAGGCATAGCTAGAGCTGATTGACCATATAAGGAAGGGTATTCCGAGCTGACATCAGCTCAGCGCTAGTGTTAAACACAACACAATGATTACTTTATAAAAGATGATGTAATTTTTTGAAACAGTGGCCAGTTTTAATATGAAATTCCAGCAGCATTTATCAGGCAGGAAATAAAGAAAAGCATCATGGGTCCACTCGAAAGTGCTGACCTCAGACTTTTTTTTTTTTAGTTAATCTAACCGGTGAAGCTTAAATTCACGTTAGTGCCTTTTAGGGCACTTCCCAACACTAATAGCATGATAGTTTATGTGATGTTGTTGGCTTGTTGTTTAAATTAATAGCAGCTCTTATCACACTACATGTAAACAATAACAAATGCTTTGGAATAAAATAGCTGAAGCTTTCATATCTTGCTGTGCAACACAAAAACACACACTGCACTGATCCATTCCTTTCAAAGCAGATTAAAAAAAAAACGCAAATCAAAATTAAACATTTAATCTTGGCGCATTTCATCCTAACTGTGGTAAAAATCTCAGTAAGGCACGCTTGATACGCACTCTCTTTCCCCTCTCTCAACACTCTTTAACAAGTAAGAGTGCTCTGGAGCCTGTTACATGAAACTGGACATTACATCATAACGTGAATGATTTATAGTGCGAGCGGGTCACAAGTACCTTGACATTAGCCTCTTTAAATAAAGCTTACCGTTATGTAAGCTTGTGTACTCAGGAGTTACGTGTGGTTCGCACACATTGCAGATGAAGCAGAGCTGAAAAGCTGGTCGTCCACGGTTCTCGTCTCAGGAGTTCAAAAATAGTCATTTGCATTTCTACGCTGCTTACTTGCTGTAGCCGATTGCTTTAAAAGTCCTGCAGCAGTATGGTAAGTGTCCACACCTGTCTCCACATGTGAACCAGCGGGAGACATCAAACCTGCAGGAAATCATCAAAGGTTAGCCTTTTCTATGGGGTTTTGTTTGTCTTAATAGTTTGTAACATACTTGAAGCCTTATCTGGAGATAATAAAGTGGTAAAGCCATGTTCCTAACTAATTGGAGACGTTACAAACAGATATGGGATGTGTTTGGATCCAGACCTGGAGGCTTGTCAACTACAGTGATTAAAGCATCCCAGACTTGTTTACCAAGTATCAGCTGCCGTACCAGCAGAACAGTTTCTTTCTTCAGGTTTCAAAACTGCCAAATTCATCCTCCACACTCTTCTTCTTCTTTAGTTTGTTCCCTTCAGGGTTCACCACAGCAGATCACCTGCCTCCAACTCACCCTGTCTCTAGCATCTTCCTCTGTCCTACCAGCCCTCTGGACGTCCTGCTTCACTACATCCTTGAACCTCCTTTGTGGTCTTTCTCTTTTCATCCTGCCTGAAAGCTCCATATTCAACATCCTTTATCCAATATATCCACTATCCCTCCTCTGGAGATGTCCAACACATCTCAGCCTCACCACTCAAACTTTGTCTCCAACCCGCTCAACCTGAGCTGTCCCTCTGATGCACTCTACTCTTTCTAATCCTGTTCATTGTGGTCACTCGCAATGAATAGCTTATCATCACCTCGAGCTCCACTTCCTGCCATTGCCACTGTCTCCAAATCATCTAAACCTTCCCTTTTGCTCCTTGTTACGTTCAGTCCGAGGGATGTGAGGAAAATAACGAAGCATGTCCAGATTGAAAAACTGAGACAAGTATGCAAGCGAATAAAGCAAAGGTTTTTATTAACAAGTAAAATGAAAGAGGCAAATGTGCCGCTATCACCTTTAAAGGAAAAGAAGCATAACAAAGCACGTTAAAAAGGTTAAATCTCCCAAAACACCCTCCTCTGACACTCATCTCCACCCGCTCCACTCTGCCTGCAGCCTTGCTTTGGACAGTTCACCCCAGGTATTTAATCTCACCCACCTTCACTACCTCTCCTCCTTGCATAAAGGGACTGAACTTCCAGTATAGTTTTATAACCTTGTGTTGCATAATGACAACTACAATGAAAATTAAATCTAGTAATTCAGGCGGTTAAGGCAACGTGAGAAACTTGTTTTACCCTTGGTGTGCGCACGGTGCTGTCCATCAGGCTCTGTCTCAGCAAGCCCGTCACCACCTCGAGCTCCTGCTCCGCCTCCCGGACGTTGGGGTCCAGTCGGAGGACTTCCTGGAGGTCACTGCTAGCTGAAAGGTAGTCCTACAGGATAGTCATCCATACAGAGAAATCAGGAATGGGAGGGGGAAGAAAAATCCAACGCATTATCTTAAAATGACAAGGAAGAGGTTTATGAGGGGCGTGCCGGCACCTGTAAACCTTTAAAAGCCAGGGCTCGTCTGTAGAAGGCTTTCTTGTTGTTCGGCTCCAGCTGCAGCGCCGAATCGCAGTCCTGCCGGGCCTCTTCGAACCGATTCAGTTTCAGGAGACAGATGGCTCTGGAGGAGAAGTAAAGGGTTTGTCAGACGGTCTCTGTCAGTGATGATCAGTATGAGGATCAGGCTACGCATGTTTAAATTACTCCACACTGTTTCAAATACAAATGAAAAATCTTCAAAATATGCACTGTAGAAGAGTAGGGACAGATGCATTTTCCCCAACATTTCGCACACTATCTTGTTAATATAGAGATTTTTGCAGGATGCAATATTCTCAGGGGATCCACATGTGTCCAGCAGTTTAGGCTTTCATGTTTGCAACACAATATTTCATCTGAAATTTGTTTCACATATACTGTAACACCTTCATGGGGCTTTATCCAGAGCAACAACGGGCAGTGCATCAGATTTGACATGCCAGGTGGTGATATGGTGCCCTCTACTGTTCCCCCTGTCTACCTGTAAATGGAGAATTAGCTCTGATGTTAGTCTTTTTTTTTTTTTTGTATTATTTTCTCCTCATCGTAGAAATTTTGCCCTTCTATGTGAGTGGCAAACGGTGCAGTCGTACAATGTTATCAGTGTCTGTGTAGCTTATTATTTTATTTTTACACAATATTTGAGCTGAAGCTTCTTACGTGATGTAGGCAGCTATTCTGTTATTTTTTGGGGGGTGGCGATCAAACTACCCACCTTTCAAACAGTATTTCTTTTATAAAGTAATTCGGGCGCTCTTGTTGCAAAGACCGGTCAATTCCAGCGTCTGTTTGGGTTGTTTTTTCATACCTGTTTGTGTGGACCGCACATTCGTCAGGTTTTATGGCGAGACATTCACTGTACTTCTCCAGGGCCTCCTGGAAGTGGCCTTTCTTGACCAGACTGTTGCCTTCCTGTTTAAGCAAAGTGAAGTGGGCTTCTTTTCTTCTGGCTGTTGGCAGAAAAATGTTTTTTTTTCCAACTGAAAAAGATGACTTCATAAAGAGTTCATTTTCTTCAGTGCAAGTTATTGATTGGTTGGACAGATCTGGGGCAGACTGTACTGAATGGTTTGTCTTTCAACAAGCCTCTGCTACAATTTCTTCACACCGTTTCAGGCCTTAATAAATCCAGCCTGTCGGCAGCAGTCTCTGTGGACCAGCGGAGATGAGTCAACTCCTCCTTAGTTAGCGATCGGCTGTGCTGAAAAAGCCAATGCGGCCAATGGGTTGTGGGAAAGACACACGCAGCGGTACTTAAACATATCCACAGACTCACAGGTACACAAAAAGATAATATTCCACTTGTCTCAACCAAGACGAGCATCTCTAAATGCACAACAAATGAGGAACTTGAAGCAGACGGGCCTCAGAAACAGAAGAGCACACCTCCTGTCAGCTAAAAACAGGAAACTGAAGCTACA